TACATAAAAGGCCAACACCAACCCATACTGCTCTCTCACTCTTCTGTTGGACACGGCCGCGTCTTTGTTTCTGCACATTTTGACACACCCAAACACGCAATCATTACTGATGACTGACTTCCACATTTGCTTAGGTTTCTTTGAAGTCCTTTGGTTTTTGTTATAGTAAATGCATATGCTTTTGTTACACTTAACTTGTCTGGTCTCCCATCTTTGTTGCAGCCTATGAGCCAGGCCGTAACACTGTGTAACACCTTGCAAACACATTGAATCAGTGCTGTGTTTAAAGTGGTAGACTCACCTTGTTTTTTGCATGAGCGTTGGCTCCGGCCTTCACCAGGACTTTGAGCGACTGGCTGAAGCCGTGCCAGGACACTTCATGGAGAGCAGTGTTCCCATCCTGACACACAACAACTCCTCATCAACCACAGCCAGACTCACGCTCTTCACACAAGCCCTGTTCTTTACAGGTTAATAAACACTTTATTGTACATTGATAATGGCTTCTTTTACACCTATGTTTGACCAGATATGTTCTCCTGGCATAATATGAAGGGACACAATCATGTTGTACACATACTTACTGCATTTGTTTTGATTCCAATGTGGGTTTTCAGCCTCAGTATTATCAATGAAAGAAACTCACTTTGGATTCCTTGTTATGAAACTCTAGATTGATACTAATATCCATATTCTATAGTCAAAAGACTTGAGTAACTGTATTATATACTTCATGAAGTTTCAGAATTTTGAACAAATCCAACTCATGACAACTGATAATGTGTTGATCTCACATTTATTTGTATAGATTTGTACAACAGTATGTCAGCATGTGGTGTGAAGAGAAAGTGTGATTATTTATATTAAGCCAACTGTAAAGTACTTATATGCAAATGGGCTTTATCAAAGCATGCATGGTAATACTAACTGGGTTTTATTTGTACCCACTGGTGCAGCATTAAGTATCTTCTAAAATACACTATTAATGCACCATTTTGTTTCTCGTACCAACACACAACTTTATTTTTAAGTGGGAATGAGGCTAAGCAGATTACAGGCACACTGGTTTCTCTGTGACTATCAGATGCTTTAATGCACTGTATGTGTGTGTGTGTGAGATCTGCACCTTGTCCTGTCTGTCCAGCGCACACCCTTCCTGGATGAGAGCGTTGATGATGTCGTAGTTTCCCACCACAGCAGCCCTCTGTAACGCAGTCTGCCCCCCCTGCACACACACACACACACACACACACACACAGTAAGTGATACAAGACACTAAATAATAAACTACTCGTGTTCTTAAAAAAACCTGAGCCCAAATTTGGCATTTAGGTTCTTGCAGGGGCTTTTAGGGTTAGGGTTATGCTATGAAGATCCATAATACGTGTTTGAAATAAATACAGATGTTGAAATGTACAAAGGTTATGGGATAGTTTGTAGAGTAGTTTAGTTTTGGGGGGGTTATGGTTTTATTCCAGCTTACTTTGAGTGGTACAAAGACATGGATGGATGGATTTGACAGGTCAGTGCATGCCGTCTATATTAAGCTGATTTACAGTCAACTAAATAAGAATTAAGTGTAATGCTGGATACAAATCTTGTTGCAAGACTGCAATACACCCATGCAATAGCTGGGTGTCCTCCTGCAGAGGAGTGGCAGCTGATGGATACACAGTTGTTCATCAGAATACGGTTCCAGCTCATAACCTGGCTGGTTCCAGTCTTTATGCTAAGCTAAACTGATCCTGATTCCAGCTGTATATTTGACAATTCTGAACATTCATTTTGACCTTCTAATCATACTCTTGGAATCCCATCAAACAGTATTTAAAAATGTTGAATGGTGAATTTAGCATTGCTTAGTTAGTTGTTCTTTTCACTCATCCTAGAACTAATTCCTGGACTAATGCCTTTACTGTATGTATCTGCATGTGGTTTAAACGCATGGTCAGTGAAATGAGCCCTGCTTTACGTATTTCCTGCATGTTCAGGGGAACAACAGTGGGCATGCTAAAAATAAATGAAACTTTGATGAATTCTGCAATTTTACAAGTAACATTAAACATCATCTTATCACCAGTATCATGGTTGAGCAGATGAAAAACAAAAAATTGAAGAAATCAAATGTACTTAAACTATTACTAAAAGTAGTAATACATTACCATATATTAAAGCATGTACAGCATTTCCTAATAAACAAACTATCGCTTTTAATGTTGACACTTTTGTCAGCTCCTTTTTAAAACACACACCATATGTCCCCAAGCTCAGCGGAGTTATTAACAGCCTAAAACAATAATGGTGTTAATAATATGGCGCTGTATAACCATACAGTGACACACACTGAACAAAACTGAAACGTTGACTTTAATAAATGTATTATGTCAACAGATTTCACATAACTGTATTAGGTTAGTTGAAAGCAATACTATTACATTTAAATAGGTTCAACTGTCACGATCTGTCTGTGTTGTGTTTTGTCTTGTCTTTTTCTGTCTCTGGTTCCTGTTTTGTTTTGAAATGTTTTCCTCCTTGTGTCTTCTCTGTTCCTTCTTCCTGTGTTTGCCTTCCTGTCTTAGTTTCCCTGGTGTGTCTGATTGTTTGATTGTGTTCACCTGTTGCCCTTGTGTTTCTGCCTCCCTTACCCCAGCTGTGTCTCGTCTTGTCATTACCCCTCCCTGTATTTAGTCTTGTCTCTTCCTGTGTTCCCCTGTCGGTTCATTGTTGGTTTTTCCTGTCTTCCTCCATGTCAGTCATGTTTGTTTCTCCTGTCTCCCACCATGTTGGTCACGGTCAGTTTTCTATAGAACCTATGTGTTTCATGCCATGCTATTGTTCAGCTTTAGAATAAAGCTCGTTTTTGTTTCGAGACCGTTTACCTTTTCTGATAGTCTGCATTTGGGTCCTACCCTTCCACGCATCCTTACATCAACTTAATATTATTGCTTTCAACTGACCTTGTACAGTTATGTGACATTTGTTGACAAATACATTTAATTTAAGTCAACGTCTCTTCAGAGTGAAGTCCAAGAGAAAAGGTGAAGCTCACATTTATGCTCAGCCATAAATGGAATTCAGCAGGTCAGTGGTGAGTGACACTTAGCAGAGCAGGTTGGACATGAGAGCAAGGATTTCCATGAGAGATGGAGGAGAGAGAGGAGGGAGGAGAGGGTGAATCAAAGCTAGATAAGAAGCGCAGCAGCAGCGGTGGAGGAGTTTGTTCAGGGGAGGAAGCTGGGGGGGGGGGGTAGATTTCTGCTGGCTCAGTAGGAGCAGTTTTGGCTAACCTCCTTCACTCTCCCTGATCCTCCAGGCTCTTTCCCAGCCCTCCTCCTCTGTCTTCTCTCCTCCTCCTCCTGCCTCAGTCTGCCCCTCCTACTCTCTCCAGTCCTGGAGGAGGGACTGCAGCCTGTTGCGGAGCTCATCGACCACAGAGAGTTATTTTGGCCATTCCAGAGATCGGGGTTATCACTATCTGTCTGAAAGGCGGTCTTGCATCCTGAGGGCAAACCCACAAGTGGGCAGTCCAAAGGGTCCCATTCAAGACCACTAGAGGTCATTAGACTACAGCAGGGGTGTACAAACTACGGCTTCTAAAAGTATAATGGAATATGGCCCACACCTTAAACTTGTTCTTGTCTTATATTGTACTTCTTAAATATATGTGTAAAAGTATAGGACACAGTATTCATGTGTGTATAAGCCCAATATTTTAAATACATTCAGTCAATTAAAGTTGAGAACATTTTCTAACAAATCTTAGTTGATAAAAAAAGCCCAATAACTTACTTACATTACCAGCTTGAAATATACCCTTCCTATTTCCCCTCATCATAAGCAATCTGAGGCTTCTGTGTTAAGGGATGAGCTGCCAACACTGTTTGTAACAAAATATATGAAACCCTATGGAGAGCTGTTTTTGTTCTTAAAGCATGTGAAAAAAGTTTGGACACCGCTGGACTGCAGTGATATTATTCCCGATGTCTTAAAAATAATTCCAACAAAAAAGAGCTGAGATCAAAAAGATGACTCCACTGGTAACCAGCGGTCAGGACTGCAGTCAGAGCTGAGAGGAGCAGTGGGAACACGGCGTGCGGACAGAGGATGTACTCACGTCGTCTTGGATGTCCAGGTCGCAGCCGGCTTTGAGCAGGATACGCACAACCTCAATGTGGCCTTTGTAGGCAGCCAGGTGCATGGGGCTTCTGCCATACTGCGGACACAAAACACACACAACTCAGTGGACAGAACATCAGAGTGAGCACAACATACTATAAGTACAGAAACACCCGCAGTGAAAAGCCCCACCTCCGCCGTCCCACTCTCACATTCACAATCCAGGGAGTCACATACCGCTACAGTGCTCACAGCTAATGGGACCACGGTAACAAATCTGCTTCACAGTACAATCCATCTCAGTAATGAGTCCACAAAACACAAAATCCATGGTTCAAGAGAATAGCGCACGATCTGCACAGATGTTCATGTTAGCTGAGCGAAGGATAAGCTCTGCATCCTGCTAATTTAAGGATCTGTGGGCGGGCCCTCAAGCTAAAAGGTTACTTAACATTAGGAGGTTTAGAGGATCAGTTAACTGAAATAACCCCCGGACAAAAAAACTTTTCTTTGGTGGTATTCATAAGAAACAATTGGAATATCAGTGGAAATACTCAAAGCATTGTATTTTCTCCCCCAAAATGTATTACAGCCAAATCTTTGGAATATCTGCAGTTAAGTACACACAGAAAGGCATGAGAGACTTCACTACACTTAGTTGAGATCCCTAAATGTAGTCATGAATATCAAAATATATTAAGAGTTTTCATTTCATTTCAAACCTTTATTTAACCAGATTGGTCCCATTGAGATCATAGATCTCTTTTTCAAGGGAGACCTGAGTTAAAGATCGAGAACAGATTTAAAGAGGCCCTGTTATGCTTTTGGGGGTTTCCCTCTCCTGTAGTGTGTTCTATAGGTTTTTGTGCATGTAGATGGTCTGCAAAGGCTAAAATCCCTGGGTGTTTCTCAATGTCGAGGAAGGCTGCTCCAGAGCCACTATTTCAAGGATGCTACGTCATCTAGTCCCGCTGAAGGACTGTTCCAATGTCCAGGATGCTTGGAATTCTACCGAGGTCGGCGTCCTTCGTTGCGGGAAATTTCGAGGCTGCACATGTGTGTCCTCCGCGGTCTTAAAATCCCCACAATGCTTTGCGCACGGACCAATTTCCAAATCTTTGGCGGAAATCACGCTCCATTTAAGGCGGGGCCTCGCATATGACGCACACCTGCACACCTGTTAGCCTGTTCCACCATTCTTCGTTTTCCGAGGCTAGGAAGGATTCTTGCCTCGCTTCTGAAGCAAGTGACTCGGAAGACATTGAGAAACATCCCATGTGTTCCCTCCAGAGGGAGTTTCTCTCTCTCACACTCTTCTCCCTAATAGCCTAATATGTCCTCTTTAAGAGTTAACTATCCTTTGAGTTACTAGTGCAATGGATGGTGTTTGTCTCTATATCAAACTGATGCTTAATAGTTTCTGGAACACAGGGGTCTGCCTCAAAAGGGTAATGCCAGACGTTTATATAATAATAACGGTTTGGAGGATTATGGTAAAAGCTCGGAAACATCCTGACATCCTGAACTTCTCATCCTATATAATGAACTGCATTAGGAAGAATAACAGAGCAGGATGTCACCATTCAAACTTCAAACACAAGACGCAGGGGATCTGAATTAATACACTTTAATTACAGATCATGTGTGTATTCCCACACAACAGCGCACGCCGCATAACTCCCAGGTATTATGTCCCCGTGTGGAGCTCCGTGCTTTGTTTGGGTGCGGCTGGGCTCCCTGTGTTGATGTGGCCCTGAGCTTGAGTTACTCTGGGCCTGGCATGGAGCCAGCAGCAGAGCTCAGGTAAACAGAGGCCTGTAGCCAGTAGCCCCCTGACCCAGGTCTGCTTGTGGCTCAGTGGGGCAGTCTTTCAGTGGTAGTCAATATTTTGGGTAATCTCAAATGCTCTTGTAAATTCTACAATCAGACATGCTTTACTGTATATTTGATACTAAACAATGAACATGTGTGTTTGATAAAAGTGAATGAACATGTTTAGCTAGATCTTCTGGACAGGACTTTCAAACTATTAAATGAAGACCATGAGATGTGGTGAAACTAAAAAATGTCAAGGTTTACATTCAATGACTATGCATATTTGAGCCTTGTTGTTGTATTAATCGTTAACACATTTAATACATTGTAACACAATGTATTAAATGTGTTAATTGGTCCTTTTTAAAAACTCCTCTCAGTCCTCTGAGCTCTCCAGATTGCAGACCAGAATTCATCAGGCTCTGAACTCTGCTTCCTCACATTTTATTCTTTAATAACACCGGTTGAGGTTGATAACATTGGTTGATCCTTTCTGCTTTTATTTCTTTTCATCTGTCTTGTGTTTTCTCAGCCTTAATCCATTCATCATATTAGCCTTCAAAAAAACTATAGTACATTCCATTTCCTGAGCAGAGGAATGTTTGATGTGTAACCCTGCCTCCTTTATCCAGGATTTAGATTTCATAATGGCACCCTGCCAAAATATACAAATCCGGTGGGTCGCAGGAATCATCCCAGCAGGCAGCGGCACATGTCATGTTGTTGTAGCTGTTAAAATATGATGCCATTATGTTCCCATGGGAAATTGATTTGCAAGATCAGAACAGAAAACACATGATAAACAACAAAGTCCTCCAGGGAATTGCATCCACACAAGTGCCCAGCACAGGCCTTGCATGCACTCTCTTTTGATTTTAATAAGAGGATTTCTTTTTAAAACAAAGATTTACATATGTGCCTGAAACCTAAAAGATGTTTGAATCCAGGAAACCTGCAGCACAATAGACCTGTTGTTACCAAGAAGAGAAATCATGAAGTTCATCAGAAACATTTAACCAACAACTGTAAAGATGAACTATAAGCTGTGCCACATGTGCCTTGATACAATTACATTATAATACATTATATTTCGTATAGCTCACGCTTTTATCCGAAGCAACTATAACAATAAATAATATATATTACACACTACAGGAAAGAGAAAACCCCCCAAAAAGCATTTAAGTGCTCACATTTTTTTTATGGCCGAGGTACTGGCAAACCAGGTAGGTTATCAGTTTGAGACCCTAATGTCTTCTAATATTGTAACAGCAAAGCATCTATGAGCGCTATGCTGTGGTTTGCAATATGGTAATGTCATATTGGCAGCTGTGGTGGTCTACCAATTGGAAGTTTGGTGATTTGATCCCCAGCCCCTGCATTCAACATATTGAAGTATCCTTGGGCAAGATACTTTACCCGAAGTTGCTCGCGTAGGCATGGCCAATGTGTGTGTGTGAGTGTGTGTGAATGAGAGTCCCTTGAGCAGGTGACCCCTTGTTGGGCTGCCTCTGTCTCTGTATGAATGTCTGTGAATTGGTGAATGCTGACTTGAATATGTAAAAGCCCTTTGAGGTGTCGCAAAGACTGGAAAAGTCTATTGTACTACACTCACTGGCACACGGCAAAAATCCCCAAAACCCTGAGACAGACACATCCAGAAGACAACCACAAGACTCACAAAAGTCACTGCCTGGTCCAGAAAAAGTCCAGCACGTTAACTCTCTTTAAACCCATGAAATGTTGTTTTTTTCAGCTTAAGAGGTGCTTGTAGGTATATTATGTGTTACCGTTGGACAGAGGCAGGCGAGCTGTTCCTCTGGTTCCAGTCCTAAACAGTGTCAGGCTGTTCTTTTAAAAGAACAAAAAACAAGTGTGTCATTGATTTTTCTCATCTCACCCTCTGCTAGAAAGTATTACTGGTTGCTACTAAATCATTTGGGGAAGCACTCTCCAGTCACCACAGACAAGTTATTTACAGATAGCACTGATAAGATCAGATTTATCGTTGCACAGTGTTGCGTTGGCTAAATGACTGAGTGATGAGATGCAGGGAATAAGCAGATCATATGATAAGTCTAGCTGATTGAATAGCTCACAAGCATGTCACAAAGATACTGCGCTGCTAGACCATGTAGGGCCTTAAACAGCACAGGTGCTCTATTACCGTATTCCTTTTTTTCAGTTCAAACTAAATCAGCTGCGTTCTAGAGTAGCTAAAAATGATTGAGATGCTTTTTAGATAATCCAGTGAGCGGTGCAAGAAAGATGTCTAAATACGTGGAAATAAATGCATGGACGTTCCCCTCCTGGGATAAAAGCTCCTTACCTTTAGCTTTAAATGATGCAATCTGATGTTTACAATGCTGTTAATAGGGTCATGCTAGAATCTACCCTGCAACACAGAAACAGTGATGTTTCATGTCCTATGGAACCAAGGAGGGCTGACTGGGGCTTTTTAGCCACGTCACAAATCTAGGTAGCCCCGGTTCAGCCCCGTCAGGTGTCATTAGGAGTATACAGCGGTAAAATAGTTCCATACTGGAGGCTAATGCAACAGCTATTAATGTGTTTTTTAAACTCTCTAAACAAATAAAAAGGGAAAAAAACATTCGCCTACCTCTTCAAAGTTTAGGAAAATTATAGTCTGGACGACTCCTCAATCCGAAATACACAAATAGTGGATTTTCCAAGAAACCCTTGAAGAGAAAGTCAGTAACTTTGATACAACATAGCCATAAGCAGACTTTAATAACCCAAAGATATTGCATAACAATAACTGTGGGATGGATCAGGACATTTCTCCCCCTCGGGGTGTATCTGTTCAGCACCGTGGGAAGCAACGGTGCCTTTGATGTTGTTGTCATTGCCGATGTGCCTTGCACTTATTTGTTGAATATTATTTGGCAAAACTCAGTTAGAAAATGTAATTCGAATATGCTTTGTGCTAGATCGGCTTCTATGGAAAACAACGAGAACTTCCTTATAAAGAAACTGAAGTAAAAAAACACGACTTTTTCTTAGCACCCCCACTTATTGGTCTAGCCCCGCCTTAGCATCAGGAGAGAAGACATCCTGGCGCTGTGCCTGTATGGAACATGAAGCAAGAGGGATGTTGACCTTTTGAAAGGACATGTATCTTTAGCATCAGTCTTCCAGCACCATGTCCTGTACCAAGCGAACAAGGACATATTATAGATCTTTATAGTTCCTGTTTTAAAAAAAAAAATCAGACCGAGACAGAGTTTTGACCAACTCTCTAAATGATAGTTTTCCAGCTACAGTCCTCATTCCAGACAGCAAATCAGGTTGGTGTTGGCTAGAATGGATTAGCCTGACATACTGTACTGTCTAAATTGAAGTAACACATGTCTAAAGAATAACGTGGTATATATGCCATGTGTACATGGTGAGCTGCATTGCAATTCAAGTCAACTTGTTTGCAAATCCTAAAATTCTCGACTTGTAATTGACACAAAAAAACACATTTTCATAAATGACTGCTAACTACAGCAAGTTGAAACGTTTTAGTATATCTTCCTGTGTAGATCACAGTCAGTGTTAATATGAGGAGATATTTTAGCATATCCCTGTGTGACACCCACACAAGAGCACACTTCTCCAAAACAGCCTGCAGCAGGCCGGCTGAATGTGACGCAGCTGACATTATTTTCATTATTTTCAGTTTGAAATATGATAGGGTTGTGTTCATATGTGAGCAACTCTGTTTCATGCTCTGTTTTGTGTCAATTGATTTAAGAGATGCAGATGAGCCCGTGGAAAAGTGATTTATCTCACAATGACTGAACAGATTGGATATCTGGCTCTCAAACAAAGCAAAATGGTTATGTGACATTTTTGGAAGCGGACAAATTTGCCGACAGGCTGGACATTCATCCATCCTAAATAACACAGACTTGGGCTATCTGCTATAATGTGATGGAATACATGTAAAAAAAAAAAAAAGACTTAATCGGCATACCGGTTTATAAAAAAATAAAAATAAAAAAGGGCATTACTAGCAGGATTACAATGTTTTAAAATAGAGAGTGATATATTACGAAGCACATGCTTTGAGTGAAGCATAGCTAAAAGGGGCTTTATTATGCTGATTTTCATGATTGGTTAGCTGGCCGGCTCTGTTGTGATTGGTCAACCACTAAGAGGTGTCCCACCATTAGCTTATCGTGTACAATGTGTTGGAGCGCTAGCCAATAGAAGTGCCAGTGTTACATAGTGATGTCACTATGTTACGGAAGTAAACAAAGGAGTTCAATGGAGGCGTTCAGGCAGTAGAGTGTGGGGGGGGGGGGTGTGTGGGAGAGAAACTCCCTCTGGAGGGAACACAGGGATTTTAGCCTTTGCAGACCATTTACATGCACACACATCTATAACACACTGCAGGAAAGGGAAAACAGCATAAAAGGGCCTCTTTGCCTTTCAGTTCTTTATCATGACGGAGTACAGAGAATGCTTTCACCGGGTGGAAATGTTAACATCTAATGCATTGAGAGGTAGATTATTTTTATATGCTGGGAATAGGTAGTTTGTACTGCCTGCCTACTGCCTCATTAAGGCTACTTTAATTCTCCTTTTTTAATATATTTGTTTTAAATTGCACAAGGTGGACACCTGATTTGATAAAGCTGTGTATGCTTAATATGTATAATATTTCTTTTATTTTGTCTTTATTTGCATTGTATTTTATATTGAGGTATCCAAAAGTAACAGAAAGTTATCAGGTAACTTTAATATTGTAATATTCTAATTGAGATTCTAATGATAATTTTACCGGAATATCTTTTAAAGCAACCTTTCCAACCACGTTGCTTTATCAACTAGAGCAGTGGTTCTCAAACCTTTTTCAATAATGTACCCCCTTTGAAAAGAAAATTCAGCCAAGTACCCCCTGATCAGTGCAAAAACAATTTGTTAAGGAAAAAATGCCTATATAAAGAGGTACAGTGCAGCGCTAACCATCAGTGTCTGATTTATTAAAACAACAACATTGTAACTGAGACGCACTTTAATGCTACATTTCAAATGTTTACAATCCATCACTAAATTCATGGCAAACCAATTTTAACATCATGCAATAACACTAAGACAACATTAGTTGCATTGAACTGATCTTTTGAATAAGTTGTACTTACAATATAGTGAGAAACATGGGCTTGTGCTTCACTGAGGATCTTTGTCATTCTGACAGGGAGGCAAACTGCAGTTATTACACTTCGCGTTTTGATATATGTGTAACTCTGTTCATATAAAACCCACACTGCTCAATGTCCGTTACTTTTCCTAAAATTGGTATATTTGTGGGGAATGAAGAGAGAAAAATATATGAGCATTTTATGAGCATGGGATTTTGACCTCTCATATAAACATATGCATAATGCTGCGCTATACTTTGCAGCCACAAGCCGTTGCCAAGCAACGCTTATTGTTTAGGTGTCCTTTGATAAGCAGGCAGTCATATCATTAGCTAGATCTGATAGATTTGGACATAAACGCGAGTGAAGTATAACCGGACGCGAGAGAGAGATCAGAGATCAGATCAGCTGCTGCTGACGGAGAACACGCAGCTCTGCATGATCACAGCTCCGCCGCGGACCGTTGAGTGGAGCAAAATGAAATACACTAAGAGTTAGACCTAACACACTTAGCTAGTTTATCTACTCTGGAACTAGCTATACTAGTTATAAATATGTGTATTCTTTACTGTCGGGTCACTTATTACAGGTTCAGCGAGCTGCACGAGACTGACGGTCTGTCAGGAGAGGGAGAGGAAAAGAGAGCACCCCGTTTATTTTTCCCATTTTATTATCCAGAATTACTGTAAATCTTTGAATAAAGTAGTTAATCTACTATTAGTAGTTTGTTTAAATGTATTACTTATGTTGTTTTTTTCATTAACATAAAATAAATCTCACCTACCCCCTGCAGTACTCCAACGTACCCCTAGGGGTCCGCGTACCCCCATTTGAGAACCACTGAACTAGAGCACATCTATGAGTCACATAACTCAGTGACACAATGGGAGTAAGACGACACCCAAACACGCAGACACTATAATACAGGCCGCGTTTACAGGAAGGATGAAGCTGAGCTGCTGCAGGCTGAGCACTTCTCAGATTTCTCTGTTTGAGTTTTCCTCACTGTTGTTCGGTTCAGGTCCAGAGAAAGAGAAAGAGAAAAGAAACTGATAATTGCTGCCTTTAAGTTCTGGTTCAATTCATTTTCAAACTGACTTGATACAAACAAACCAAGAAAAGTAAAAGTGAGTCATGGACTGACAGGAGCCTTTTTCATTTGGTGATGTCATACTGTGCTAGACACAACTGTGTGAATGGGTCAAGGGTGGCGGTCGAACAGTCAACATTTTTTTTAACTCGTATGTTTTTTCAAATCCACTCATCAATAATACAGATCAGGAAATAATATTGCAAACAGAAAGTAATATGTGTTCTTATTAAAAATGTTTTGAATGTAATGAGCACACATGGAAAATAAATTGACAGCAAATCCAGTCAGCAGTTTTTGAAGTAATCTTGATCTAATTAGAGCTGTGGAGGCTCCTTTTGGCACTCCCTGATCTTGGGCCCCTTTGGTAAGCAAATCAAATGTACAAGGTTCCAGCGACATCACCTCTAATAATGTAATAATCAGGCTCTGGAGAGTTCACTCACCTTTGTGACGGCTACCTTTGCGCCCTTGTTGATGAGCTGGACCACATTTTCAGCGTGCCCCTTGTGTGAGGCTATGAGGAGGCGCTCGGAGAGTGCGAGGACCTCAGCTGCATCCTGCTGCCTCATGAAGCAGGGCGAGTGATCAAGCAGGAGTCCGAATGGCTGCCAGGGCTGCTGTTTCTACAAACTCCACACACTGCCAGGATTCCTCCCCTTCATCCTCTCAGTGCTGGGAAGAGAACAGGAAACACATGGAGTGAAAACAAGCCGGCATGTGCTGCGCTCACAGGGCTGACAAACAGGAAGCAGGGAGGAGGGCAGAGTGACATCCCTACTGTCCAGTTTGTTAAACCATGTACAGTCCACTTGGATCACGTGAGCCACAGAAATAATCTGTAATGAGAGCGGAACAGGGTTCAAATTTGCTCAGAGATTTAGAGCCTGCTGTACTACGAAGCAAACCCTTCACACACAATTGGCACTTTCACACCGCAGTACTTTTCCCACAAAGGTTCATCAGAACTTAGCTCATCAGAACTCTTTAGTTCTCATGAACTAAGTACAGATCGCGTTCACACCGGAATAAGTCCCTGAGGGAAGATTACGCAAATGAAGCCGCTGAAGTCACTTCTTCTTCTTCTGCTTTGGGTTTACTGGCAAACCACTTCACGGCGTATACTGCCGCCCGAAGTCCCCGGCCGGAAGTCACCGGAGTTAGGGACTGGCGTTCAGTAGAAGCTGCTGGGACTCCCAGCAGCTTCTACTGAAGCCTTCCGAGTAAATCGCCAGAACGCCGACACCTCCTCATCTCCACCGCTCCCATGTTTTCCTTTGTGTTGCCATAAGTTAGTCTCTCTGCGTTTCTGCGCTGGGCTAATGCTAATGCTAATAATGCTAATGCGAGGATAATAAAATGGCGGCTTCACAAAACTTTTTGGGAGTTTTACGGGGCGTGGTTTGCATTCCGCCCAGCCAATCAGACATAGGAACCTTTTTCTCCCACGAAAGTACCTGCTCTCTAGCAGGGACGGAAAAGGGGGGAAAAAGGTTCTCATTAACTAATTTTAGTTCCGGCTCTTTTTGGTGTGAACGCGACATTTTAGAACTAAAGTGGGAAAAATACTGCGGCACACACACACACACACACACACACACACACACACACACACACACACACACACACACACACACACACACACACACACACACACACACACACACACACACACACACACACACACACACACACACACACACACACACACCACACACACACTACCACACACACACACACCACACACCACACACACACACACACACCACAGACACACACACACCCACAACACACACAACACACACACACACATCACACACACACACACACACACACACCACACACCACACACACACCCACCCACACACACAGCACATTCCACCCACCACACCACACCCCCACACACACCACCCACACACACCCACCACACACACAATTTTGTCCCCATCACTTTTTAACCTCTTAAGCCCTGAGCCTGTTTTTCAGGTCTCAGGCTCGAAAATTAATAATCTTTATTCTCAAAGTAATGATAAACCTGTGAGTTTGGATGTAGAAAAGTCAGAATCAATATAGATGTTTTTTATTTTACAGAAAATTCAGATTTTACATTGTAAAAAACTGTAAATTATAGTGTCCGTCCAAAAAATCTTTTTTACTGATAGTGAAAACTACCCTTGGATGATGGGTTAGTAGACTAAAAGCTTTAGGAATCCAAAGTACAACATATAATAAGTACGCTGTATCAAGATTGATGCAAAACAAGTGAAATTTGACCTTTTTAGAGAGATTTAGCCAAAAAAAAACACTTCTGGGGTCATTTGGGTGGATTTGACCTATCTCTGGCCCCCCTTGCTCGATTTTGATGAATGAAAGCTCTTTATAACCGCTAGAGCCAATGGAATCGAGGGAAAGTTCTATTCACACCAACACGTTAACAAATAAGGAGTGAGAGTGACCAAAACCGGAAGCTGCATACACTCTGGTGGCTACCATTAGCAGCTAATTTTTCCGCTCCGATTTTTACATAAAAAATGGAATTATGGATTATAAATAATTTTTTCAAAGGCACAGGTACATTATTAACCTATGGATCAACAGTTGTAGCATTTTTGTTTTTCGTTTTAATGCCATTGAACACGTCTTTTGACCTAATTGACAGCTACGGTGAGACGATCTGCCGTAAATGCTCCGTAAAGGTACGTGTTGTGATGTCTGTGTTTGCTTCCCCTGTCGCAAGTTCGGATCGCTCAGTGATGATACTATACCTAAATAATCTGTGGAGTCTCAGCTTTAATCTGATATATTGTATGTGCAGCTATGATAAGTAATAAGGGTATCTTTATCTTCAATTGTGTGCCGCAGTGCGTTAGAATTTTTTCGCTCAGGGGTCATTTAGACGCTTTAGAGACTTGTGTTTTGTTTTGGTAAAAATGGTTCATATCTTCAGTTAGCTGAGATTCTTCCCGTTAATCTGGTGCTACACATTAATAGTTTCATAAATGTTAAGAAGCCCTGAGACATTGTCTCGAAAAAAAAACGGTGGGAGGGGTCCAATGGGGGGACCGCCGTGCTTAAGAGGTTAAAATGGCCAATTTTGTCCCCATCACTTTTGAAAAGATTTACTTTTTATAAATGTTCTGAAAATAGCATGAAATGTAATAAACAACAACACTGATTTATTTTGCACAGGTTAACATGTACACCTTGAGAAGATGTTGTCTGTTCACACTTGTCTGGTGTATTTAGGGGACCCAAGATGTGCAATTTGGAAATGTACATTTTGTAAAAACAGAATTGCTCCCGCTTTGCAGCAGCAGCAAATAATTTAAACAAAAAATAATTCCTCCTTACTCTACTGACTCTAATATGACCCAAAAACATGCATGAGACAGTGTTGTTGGGCTTGTTTGCCTGAAGTAAATGTTGTCTTTTGGCTTTGTTTTCTTCTCAGAGAGTACCAGAATGCTTAGTATTGTAGTGATCACTGATTGACATAATTCACGCATGGAACTACAGGTTGGGGGTATTGTTTCCGCACAGACATATGTGTTGCTGACAGTATTTATTGTGTGCCCTCCTGGCTTCTTGGTCTTCTTCCCGGGCTGCGACCCGACAACATGTGGTTTTCTGCTGCTCATTAAAGCACCACTTTGTACCTTCAATGCACCGCTTCCGACTCCCATCTCTCGGCACTACAGTATACATGTTCAAATGCTAAATAAATCTAAGATTGTTGGCTTCCTCAATAATTTCCCCCCAACTACACATACAGCTCTGGAGGAAATGAAGAGACCACCGCATCATTATCAGTTTCTCTGGTTTTACTACTGTATAGGAATGTGTTTGAGTAAAATAAGAAAATTAAGTATTTTATTCTATAAACTACTGACAATATTTCTCTGTGTTGGAATTCAACAGACACGGAATGGCTGCCATACATGTAGAGATTGAGATTCAAGAACAATTTGGAGTGGTCTCTTAATTTTTGTTCAGAGCTGTATAATGGTTCCTGCGACAATAGTCTGCAGCATGACACTTTAAGTCTACAGGTGTTGCTAACAAATAGATACGGGAAACTAGTGTGTAAATAAAAAAGGTTGTGCGCAATACAGTATTATTTGTATCTGAAAAAAGTGTCCCCACCACTTTTCACAACTAAATGAGTATGTATGCAAGTAAATGCGGCTAGTTTATGGCTGCTGAGTTGAAACATGCAGAGGCAGGGAGCATACTAACATCCACAGGATAGCTGGAGGGATGTCTGACTGAAAACATGAACGTTGTCCGACGCTATAAGCACATTATCTTGGCTATGGTTCTGTCCCTTTAAAGAAAACCGCTACGTAAATATGTATTATATATGTTTTTATTACAACATTTGATTATTCTATATCTACCCAGGGACTCATACCTATCCCTAATGTAAGCATAACTGTATTAATTTAAAAAGAAAAAGAATATGCAAAAAAACACTATTATTTGAGTGGCATATGCTGGTGCTCTTTCCATGCATGCCGTCTCTAAACAAGTTTAATATATGAATCTACTAAAACACCAACACACTTATAACAGGCAGATACGGAGTATCATACATATTTTCAATTCTAGTGAGTGGGCTTCCAATGTCAAATTCTTTCACTGTTATCAATGAAGTCATCAAATGAGCCTGTAATAATTGCAGTGAAAACAGACGCTGAAAGCATGTCTGGACATGAGGACTGTTTTTATTAAAAAGCCTCTAATACATGTTATTAGTTCTGTCAAAACACCCAATTATATGGACATATAATACAGGGTTCTGTCCTTTGAGAAACGCTGTATTTTGGAGGAGGGTTTTTATTTGAAATGTCACGAAGCATGAGGTGTTTATGAGCTGTAAAATTGGAATTGTGGTCAGGATAATCCATGCTCACTAAGCCCCACTCAAGAGAAACACACAATAACAGACCACAGTACACACAGAAAGGAAACCGCCTCCAAACGGTTGAGTCCGAGGTTAGGCTTCCATAAAGAAGTGCTGACATGGCTGACACATTGTTGATAAAGAACTTTCAATATAGTGTTATGAGAAGATCAGAAACTACCTTTGACTTGATCATTTGATCATTAAATTGTGAGGATCTGCAGTACTTCCTCCTTCTTTTCCACTTCTATGTTTGTTTGTCTTCCTGGCTGGGCGTGGCTGACCTACATTCTGATTCCCGCCAACTCATCTCCACTGCTGTTGTTCATCTCACTGATTGCCACTACTCACCTGCACCTGCTTAAAACCCTGGTTCCCATCCTCAGACTTCGCCAGTTCTTCGTTTATTCTTCAGTGGTAAACTATCGTCCAGGCCTACTAGCAGTATTCTAGTAAACCCTTTGATACTCCTAGTGAAAGGTTTCCTTTCTAACCCTGCATCTTTATTTCTCCAGATCTACACACACCTGCCGCTCTGCTTGCCACGTCCAGCCTCCGACTCCTCGTCTGAGTTCCCTCCGTGCTTCCACGCACACCAGCTCATCCTGTCTACATTCGCCAGCTCTGGATCTCCGGCTCTCCACGCCAGTGCTTCCTCCGTGCATCTCCGCACCTCCGTCTCCCCCTGAGCTATCCAGCTCCACGTCTGTCTTCTCTGAGCTCCTCTCTACACCTTGCCTGTGCCGTGGTCAAATAAAGACTATTGTTTGAC